TGGAAACCTATCCGAAATATGACAATATTAAACGCAAATACTAACTAATTTCAAACTACGTCTCGTAGATTATAAATAGTAATAGAAAATGTACAGATAATACAATGTTTTCAATACTTGAACTAAGGAAACTAATGAACTGAAAAAACAACTTGTAAATAAAATATAATCGTAATAGTTAGATTATGAATAAAACATATCATCATTATCTTTGACAAAACAGAGATATGTTTTAAACGTTTTGGTCTCAGAAACCCACGGTAAGTAAACTCAGGCTCAAACTCTTGGGGATATAGCTGATAATGTGGATGAAGTTTGCTGAGTGTATTATAAAGGTTATTTGGTATGCAGCCACAAATGTATGAAATCGAATACTTTGTGACCAACACTTTAAAAATAAATATCCTTGTGTCGGTTTCGATCAACATAGCCTTAATGGTATATACATTGTATAGACTATACAATTTATATCTCAAAGTGTATTTCTAATCCGAAGGCGTCGGTGGCTCAGGGCTAAGCACTTGATTTGTTATCTGCAGGTCTTGGGTTCCGCCATGTACCAATGTGAAAACACCGTGAACTTACTCAGCGTTGTTGACTACGGTCTGGTCATCTCTAACTTAGGGAAGGCCGCGACCCCCACAGCGGAGACGTATAGTGGGTTGTTGATGAAGCAAATATTTTCACTGCTCAAGCAGTCGTACGAAATAATATTTTCAATCTTTTCATTGAAAACTGTAATAAAAATATGTTGATATAAAAACATAAGGTAAATAATAAAATTACGAAACAATTTCTATCTTGGTTTCTTGGACTAACGCAAAAAAATTGAATATTTAAATTTATCATGTAAACAAAATAAGTTATTGAATATTCTACGAACGTCTGTCCATCATAGACGACATTATTTGGCTGAGAGAACAGTGTTTCTTCCGCCGCGTTAGTATTACGTCCACGTATCTCTGTTAAAAAGTTTTCAAATTTCTCTGACATGTTTCATAAAAGCCATTACAAGCCGAATAATTTACAGTTCCAACTGAACTATTTTTCAATTTATGTTTGTTTTAATAAATTACTGTTTATCTAAATATAACTTAAATAATGTTTTTGTTTTAATCAACTAACCCGAATTTTTACCTTCTTAAGAAAATGTAAGCACAAAGAATTGAAACTATTAATGTAAATAATAGCTATTATGGTTTTCACAATGTGAACCAATAAAGGAAGCATTCCTTTCAATTTGATTGGAGAGAACTCGTTTGATTTTAGTGTTGTAGCATCGAAAGTAATTTTGAATTAATTTAATTGTTTGTACCAAGGTATAAAATAAAATAAAAAAGGATCAAGACACATAGGATTATAGATTTCAGTTCCGTTTGTTCTTTTAAACGAGTCGAATTTAATATTAAGTTTACTTGTAATATTCTACTATTTCTTTTATGTTTATATCACGTTTCTTAATAACTAGCTTTTAGCAGATACCTTGTATTAAATGCATTATATTAGACTCTAGACTTAGCGTGGGTTTCCGAGACCAAAATGCTCGTTTAAAAGATATTGACGTTGTGGAATGGTCTGTCATCGGCGGTATTTCCAAACCGCTACGACTTAGGGTCCTTCAAGAAGCGAGCTTATCACCACCTCAAAGGCCGGCAACGCATCTGCGGTTCCTCTGGTATTGCTGATGTCCATGGGCGTCGTTGAACACCTCGGTGTTCCCGCTGCTCGTTTGCCCCCTTCTGTTATAAAAAAAAATTGTTTTATCTCATTTGTCAAGATAATGACAGGGACGAAGATATGTTTTATACAGATATTTTGGTCTAAGAAACTAACGGTTAGAGACTAAACGTATTGATACTTCGGCAAAATAGACAACATTATGCAACAGTTGTTTAAAGCCAGCCATGTAATTAGTTATAAGGGCTCGTGTTTCGCAACTCCACGACTAGCGCGTGTTTTAGTTGTGAGCAGGATCAAGGTTTGCTCCAGCCAGCCCAACTCTTCGAAGAATCCCAACAACCCTTTGATGTTATGCTTTATCGTGTATAGATGCACTGCTGGGCAGTGCTATATCACGTGGGGACGGTGTTTCTTCGTCGCCCATGCAGCGTGCAAGGGGCTGTGCGTAATACCTCATCCAGCAACGTATTTCATGTTTCCGTTTATTGAGTACAAAATTCTTTATCTTTTTTTAAATAAAATAAATCGTAAGCTATGAAATGTTGCCAGTCCAATTTATGTTTGTGACATTTTATAAGAGCTCTTTGTAATGAAATTAGAAAAACTCTTTTTGATCTTTTACGGACAATTTAACTGACAACAGATGTTTATGAAAATTGCTTTATCGTTCGGGACTATGTTTGTTTTTGATATATTATGCTACTAAATAAAATACTTATGATATTTTAATAAAATTTATAACAGTTCAAATAAGATGTGCTTTATTTGTTTTGACAGAATTTTATGGAGTGGAATCGATTCCCTTTTTTCATATTCGCCCATTTATAAATGCGTTCTCATATAGTAGTAGTTAACCCAGCTTTATGTTTAAAAGTAGCTGTTGCCCGCGACTTCGTCCATGCGGAAATAAATAAAATTTAAAGTTACTTCCGGATACAATTAGCTACTTTCCAGTAACAGTCCCGTCAAAATCATTATAAGAAACACAAATACATCACGTTTACGAAATATATTTTTGTTAATACATACAGACACTGCAATTTTATTTATTGTATAGAAGACATAAATGTAGATGAAGTTACAAAAATAATTTATCAAGCTTGAATAACACACTCAGAGCCCTCCACACTAGTCTTTAAGAATAGATTTCTCACACATAACTTATTATACCTAACAATGCAGTAGTCAATAGTCATATAACCTGCATGTTTCTCATATTATAAGACACAAGAAGTAAACGACATTTTCGTTTATCAATGCATACTTATTTTGGTCTCAGTTGTGTGGGTTCCTAATAGCGTCTAATTTCTCATTACCGCAACGACATCTACATTGCTTTCCGTGACGTTCGCTTGACAGCTGATTTGTGTTAAGTCAGCTGAGATTAAATTGTAATTAGATGAACTAATTATACCGGACACCATACGTTTCCTTACAGCTAAGTATAGATACACCTATTTATAATTTGTGGGAACATGATACATCCAACTAATATTATAAATGCGAAAATTTAATGGATGGATGGATGTTTGTCTACGGAACGGCTTAAAGTATCACACATAGGATACTTGTAAGATTTTTTTTAATTCCGCACAGAAAGAGTCGTGGTTCACAGCTAGTATACACATGAAACAAACTTATTCAGTACGCTTATAAGAAATTAATTAATACAGCTAACAATTCATATAAAATCTAGTATCAAAACTCACAAGTTAATGTGAAAAAATTTACTTTAGCTTATCTTTATCTGACTTTAATATTATAGTTGTAAAATAAACTTTCTATAAGCTAATCCATGTTTGCCAATTACGAGAGGTTCACTTAAAATTAACGCTAGTACAGTATCAATACAATAACCAGACAGTTCCGCTCTAGAGGGCGATAGTTACGCACCGATACTTACTGAAGCTCGTACTTAAAATTAGTAGGATAACCATGGTTTGAAAAAATCTAAAAAATTACCAAATGTAATGTGTAATCTTACTATCTTATTTTATAAATGCGAATGTTTAGATCGATGGCTGGATGGATGGATGTTTGTTTCAAGGTATCTCCGGAACAGCTATACAGCTAACAGAGATATAGAACATAGTCTGGAAGAACACATGGGCTAATAATAAAGTTTATTTAATACCGCGCCGACGGAGTCGCGAGCGACAATTAGTCTAGAACTAACGTCAACAAGGTAGTGTTTTCTGCGTCTTAACGTGTGTCTTGACCGATTGCGCAATCAATTGTCATTTGGTTAGTATTTTTACACATTTATATATAGATATAGTGTGATATAGTGTGATTTATACATTTAGATATAGTGTGATACGGTAACAAAGTAAGACTGCTTCTAGCTTTTATTATGATAGTTCCCTATGATCTTTGGATTAATCAAGACTCTGTTCACCATTATGTTTCGACAAGAAATTAGTAGTAAAATAAAATCAACGAAATCGTAATTTCTATTCAGGGTAATGCTAATATTATACAAATATAGATAATTTCCATCATAAAAAACCTATATTTTCTCTGATAAATTAGTTAGAAGAAAGCTTAGGCAGCCGTTTTTGTCACTCACCAGCCAAAATGATAAGAAAATTAAGAAATAGTCCGGGATTATTTTAATCATGGTAACTCTAATAGTCCCTTTTAATTAATCAGCAAGCAGTATCAGACACGATATTGCGCTGTTGTGGTGAAAAGCCGAGGATTTGCTAAAATGTAATGCCAATAAAATTCACACATTATGACGGCGGATTTACATTTTAGAAACACCTACGGATTTCCTTACCCACCAGCACGTTTGCACACACACATCTGTGTTACCAAAATAATTTGTACCTTTTTTGATTAATATTCATTTGTTTAATGGCCAGGTATTCTAATTACTGTGCCAATATTATATTTATTATATAGTATTTATAAATTTTGTAATTATATTAAAAACAAATCTCGAAAAATATTCAAATACGGCAAATCCATCTAACTATGTATCCCACAATTACAAAATTATAACTATCACCACCAAAATGTATAAAGAATTTTAACGCCATCTATAAGTCATTTTGTCATAATCTTGTATTTTCATTTAATAACTATAATAATGAGGATATAAATAAGGAAATGTTAAAAGTTAATGCAATTAAAACACTAATCGCCAAATAATACTCAGCATATTTTATGACATTTTTCATTTATAGATACCAAACATAGACACAAAAAAACGCAACTTTTATTTTACTCTGTGACTTTAATCGGTGTTTTCTTTTCTATACTCTTTGGTTTGATGTTTTGGTTTGTCAAAGTTAAGTGAACATTTCAAATTCAAATGTATTGTAACCGACGAGATAATTTTAACTTTTTATGAAATTTTATTTACAACATTAATTAAAATGGTGGTTAATAATTCGATTAAACAACTTTTGGAAAATTTCCCGAAATATGTAACTGAAGTGCAAACAAGTCCCAGCTATGTGGAAATGTATACAGGAAATATTAAAGACATTGTACTTGTTTACGCCAAAGTAAGTTGTTTTAATTTATTTCATTTAAATTTAATGTAATAATTAATAAATGAGGTGATTTTATTATTTGTGTTGTATATAATTGTTTGTATTTTATATCATTACTTATTCATTCATTCATTTTCAGGGAAAGCAATCGATCGGTATGACAGATGAGTGCGGTAAAACTAATAGAATATCAGGCAAGTTTAGAATCATATATATAAAATTAATATTATATTTGTAATACAATAATGTCCGATTTAAGTCATTCTTAGACTCCATTTTCAGATGAATTAGAACTCACTGGATCTCCATTAAAACTTGATTTAAGTCTTCACACAATATTGGATGAAACTATGATGCCTGATGAACCACAGTTGTGGAGGAAAGAAGAAAATCTTCATAACCCGATTGAAATAGAGAAATCGAGGTTTGTAATTTAATTCATGTAACTAATTCAAAATTAAATAACATTTCTCTCTTTCACATCTTTCTTTAATATAAAATATAAGTCAATTAGTATCGTAAAATTCAATTGCTGTTCATTTGTATAAACAAATTATTGGCATACCTTTACTTCTCTTTCTCTCTCAAAACAGGAACTACAATATGTATTTATTAGCTGACCAAATAAAACTTTATTAGTAGCCTATGTATTCTTCCAGACTAAGTTCTACATCTATTCTTAATTTGCCTAATTCAGCAAAATACATGCAGTCATTCTGGAGATACCTTCTTACAAACATCTATCCAAAACACTATTAGCATTAATATTAGAAAGAAATATGTTACTACAGTTTAAAATTTTGTTAATACATATTTTAATTTCCACTTTAAATTCCAGAGAAATAGCAAATTTCTACAATAAAATCTTATCAGAAACAAATAAGGAAGATGCAATACCAATGTGGGTGGTATGCAACCCTACATCGGAGAATAAACCTTTGCTGTTAACTATCCAGTCAGATAATACTAACTTTACAAGAGGCATTGTTAATTATGAAGGTTCATCAACATTAGATGAAGTTGATGTGGAGAAAATAATTCAAGATTTTGCAACTGAAGCTGGCATAAAGGAGGATATGGTAAGACTATACATCCCCACTGAGGAGCATAAGGCTACCTAAAGTTAGGGCTAATTAACTAAAGGTCATTTTTGTAATATACACAAAATGTATTTTAAATTAAATAAGCAGCAGCAAGTACCATTTAGTCTATTAAAGAATGTGACATAATGTGCTACTTTAAACAGTAGTGTCCGGGTTCTTTTCAGTGTTCTGCTTACAATAAATTACCTTTTCCAACCTACTAATAACTCAACTTGAGGCAAGCTACTAATAACTTTGAATCTTAAATTAAGAGGCTCTGCTTGAAGCTCTGTTGTATTAATAGTTTAAATTAAAGTTAGTTTGAATATTGCATTTTATTTATCTCTATGTTATATTTGAATCAATATAAATCTTTTAAGAACTGTATAAGTTTTTTTTTAAATTTCAGGTCAACATGTCAGTAGATTGCAAGTATGTATTATCCGGGATAACATATAATTCATTGAACACTGATGAATTGCTGAATGCTCCACATGGAGGAGTAACGGAATTGTTATGTTCGTGGTCTGTGAGAACTTTGCTTACACCGTACATCAATTGTAAAGTTAACTATGTAAGTTAATTATCTATATTATAATATTATAATCTGAGAAGAAATTCAACGATATGTGCAAAGTCAACCAACCCGCACTGGGCCAGGGTGGTTGTCTATGGCCTAGTCACCCTTAACTTAGGGTAGGCTCTGAGCCCCTCAGCTGATGACGATATGTCAACAAAGAAATGATAAATTCAAAACATGTTTTCTTAGTTATTTGTGACAAAGAGGACATCATACAATCAAACCCGGATAAGCCAGAATGCAAGAGACTGTTGTATTTTCTTGCTTATAAGTTTCTGTTATATATGTTTCTCCCTTATCATAATTCGTCTGTATTGAGCTTATATACTAACTGTGACAAATTATTTTTGGACTGCTTTTTATGTGCTTTTGTGTCTTTAGTTTGTAAATTATATTTTAGGCCCAAGAAGTAATAGTTGGTCATTTAGCAAGTCCGTGCAACACTTTATGGAAGTCGGTCAGTTCACTGCACAATATTAATCAGCTTCTTGTAGAAATGACAGCGGCTGGATTTAGTTCTGTTAACTTAGAAACAGCTGAAATAAGGTAAATACAACAATATATCGAATCCCGCCATGTACCAATGGGTTTTTCGGTTTCCGATTGACATATGTACATTTATCCGATGTTTTTACGGTGAAGGAAAACATCGTGATGCAATCTGCACATATCTGAGAAGAAATTCAAAGATATGTGTGAAGTCAACCAACCCGCACTGGACCAGCGTGGCTGACTAAGGCCTAGTCACCCTTAACTTAGGGTAGGCTCTGAGCCCCTCAGTGGGGACATGTAGTGAGCTGATGATGAACAATATATTAGATTGACCAAGGTGGATTTTTTCCCAATACAATTAAAAGAACTTTTTAGTTTTTCTACTTCTAGTTCATAGAACTTTTATGTGATATTTCTAATTACTTTTTTTAATGATAATTAGAGATGTTATATTACACTCTTTATTTCTTATTTACTAATAAATATGACTCTCATGGAGATTGCATTTTATTGTAAAAAAAAAATCCATGTACAGTTTTTCTTAAGATAATTTTTTTTTATTTCAGAAATACGGTGCAAGGTGTGAAAATATCCGATGTAACAAAACGTCTAAACAAATTGTTCAATGAGACTGAGATATATACTTATACCGCGGAGTGTCCTGCAGGAGGCTGTATTTGTGTGACCGAGGATACAGACAGTCTGAGACAATGCTTATCTTCTATGGCGGCTAATGGTTCCAGTAATGATTTTACTTATAAGCTATGGGATATTTTAAGAGGTACATATTTTTTTAATTTTGTAATATGGTGATAGGATACTTCACACAGTACTACACAAATTAATGTCAAGCAATAAGTGACACTAAAGCCGAACATTTTTTTATGTAATTTAAAAAGGCAAACATTGTCTGTCTTTGAAACATCTATCCATTTCTTGGGTTATCTAGTCTAGTTGCTTGTAAACACATACTGGATGAATGTATTATAAGGGCAAATTCTGAAGTCTTTTTACATGTGTTTGATTTTTTTTATTATTTTTTGTAGATTGTGCAAATGCAGAGGAATTAATTACATTACTATTACAAGCTTTAAAGTTTGTATCTTCAGGGAAAATACGACCATTTGTGAGTAAAACATTTTTTTTTTAGATTTTTTTCTTTTTTTTTGTAAGAGCGTGATTTATTAATTACTACCTGTTGTAAGCAACTCGGTAAGCGCGGTGTTTAAAAAAAACATAATTAGTAGCCTGTGTTTTTTCATACTATGTTATATATGTATGACAAATTTCATCAAGATCCGTTCAGCTGTTCTGGAGATAATTTCAAACAAACATCCATCCATCCAACTCTTGCAGATATTTGTTACTAAAATACCCTAGTCCCTCTATTTTTTTTTTTTTTTAAATTTCTCTTTATCAATTTCAGATAGATGTAAACAACAAAACGTACCTATCTAAATTAGTACTAAAGCTATCCAGAGGTCACTCGCAGACATCCAAAGTGTTGAAGAATCTTCGAAGCAGTCCACCTCAGGCGCTGTCACTGGTGGCTCAAGTAGGAATAGAGAAGACAATGTGGGAGTATACTAAAATCATGTCTCTTCTAGAACATTCTTTCTACATCGCTGGCATATGGAATGCTGATACAAGGTAAACAAACAACTCTGTGGTTGAAGGCAATTGTTTTGATTAGGAAAAAGTTTTTTTTTTTAATTTTGTTGAGAGGATCCGTTGAAATAAATTCTAATATAAAAATCGCATCAGTAAATATTTATATTTTAAATGGTCGTGCATTTTTTTACCAAATTGCAAAAATACTAAGGAATCCTTTTTTACTAAATGCCGTAATCTTATTTCTTACTATATTATGAATACGAATGTTTGGATGTATAGATGGATGTTTGTTAAAAGATATCTCCGGAACGTTACAGATGTAGAACATAGTCTGGAAAAACACGTAGACTGCTTTTTTATAATTCTGCGCGAATGGAGTCGCGATAAGTTAGTAAAACACAAAATCAATACTTTCATAAGGTGGCAAACGAGCGAGCGGCCACCTGAAATCGCTGACATAGCGAAGTGGCCGTTGCCCATAGACATACCCAATTGCATATGCGTTGCCTACCTTTAAACGATGGAGGAGAGGATGCACAGAAAGAAAATATTTTCTCTTTCCATGCATCCTCTCATCCGGAAAGTCTACTTCAACTTCTCATCCTTTCCTTATAAGAAGAAGGGTGGGAAGGGAAAGAGGAGTAAATTAGGCCTCCAGGACGCACTTAGACTGTACTTGGAATTGCTTCCACTTGACGCCTGTCTTCTGTGCGATCGTGGTATTTCACCGGGCGAGCCGGGCCGATTCGTGGGAACATGTTAAAGCGGGCTCTACCACTAAGAAAGGCCTTAAAATTCAATGGTGTTTTATCTTCTTTTTTTAACATATCCAGAACCCACGAATCTATAGAACAAATAAACCAAACAATACAAGACATGACAATGGGCGGTGACTTCACATTGAATCCATTCGAGAGTGTCAGTACTGGAGAACATTCGATACGACTCGACTCTGACTCGTTCTATGCAGAAGATACCAACGAATTAACTGTAGATGATTTTGCTTCCTTAAAGAAACATGGTCTAGTCAACGAAAGGAAAGATGTTAATGAGGTACGATTTTTATTTAAGATTAGCTATCGCCCGCGACTCCGTCCGCGTGAAATGAAAACTTAACTAGTGTCCGGCAATTTTCGAATTTTTCTCACCTTTTAAGCCGCTCTCTAGACCTCCACGAACATTTCAAGACCAAGATAAGATAAATCCGTTCAGCCGTTTTCGAGTTTTAGCGACACTAACTAACACCAGTTGATTTTTTTATATATAGAAGATAAAAAATATTTCGAAATAGCGTATATTTTTAGTTATTTAGAAATTAAAGCCTATTTTATTTTTTAGTTAAAGTTTTTTTAGACTTTTTTAACCCTTTACTGCATAAGGTGTGAAAAAAAAAATATTTTTTTGGAAATATGTTTCAATGAAATTTTAGCTTAAAAAAATTCTTCAACGCAAAAAAATATATATTTTTTAACTGATGGCTATTGATGCACAAAAAAAACCTAATTTAACAAAGATCTGATTATGGTTGCACAGATGTAGAACATAGTCTATTTTTTTTAATTCATCGCGGACGGAGTCGCAGGCGATAGCTAATTTTATATATTGATAGAAAATTAATATTTATATTTATGTATTACAGGTACCTTTAATAGCGGATGAAATAGATATAAGCCCATGGAAGAATTTACTGATGAAGTTTGCTCAAGTGCATGTCTGTTTGGAACATTTATATCGCGTCGAGACATGTTTGAGAGCTAATTTCGGTAAAGTTATCCTTTCTCTCACTCTTTTCTCGTTATCTCTCACTTTCTATAATTTTTTATTATTAAAAATTACCAAAAAAGGATACTTTTTTGTTCTTATAATATTTTATGTTACTATTTTGCTTATAATATTATAAATGCGAAAGTTTGGATGGATGGATGTTTGAAGGTATCTTCAGAATATTTACATAGATCTAGCTGAAATTTGGCATGTATGTAGAACAAAGTTTAGAAAACATAGGCTTAATTATGATTTTTTAACCGAGCGTCGGTGGCTCAGTGGTCAAGTACTTGGCTTGCAATCTGCAGGTCCTGGATTCGAATCCCGCCATGTACCAATGTGTTTTTCGATTTACATATGTACCGACGTTCTTACGGTGAAAGAAAACATCGTGATGCAACCTGCACATATCTGAGAAGAAATTCAAAGATATGTGTGAAGTCAACCAACCCGCACTTGGCCAGCGTGGTTCACTATGGCCTAATCACCCCTAACTTAGAATAGGCTCCGAGCCCCTCGGTGGGGACGTATAGTGAGCTGATGATGATGAAGATTTTTTATTCATTTAGTCGTGGACGATAGCGATACTAAAATAGATAGATAGATATACTAAAATCAACTATTATGATTTGGATCAGAAAAAATTGCTGAATTTGTTATTTGCAATAGCAATTTTTTAATTCTAATTTAAACAATATTTAAAATCCTTAAAAAGGAGATTAGTTGATATTTTTGATCTTTGAATCATCATCAACCTGCCCTTATCCCTATCGAGGGTCGTCACAGTATGTACTACTCCTCCATACATCTCTATCAGCCGTCATATCCGAGTCTACCCCCTTCTTATGCATAACCTCTTTCACACAGTCATTCCATACTTTTTTTGGTCTTCCCCTACCATTGTAGCCATCCACATTCAATCTCATTACTTTTTGCTTATATCATCATCCCTCCTCATAACATGTCCAAACCACGCTAATCTTTTACTCCTCAATTTCTGGATCACTGGCGCTACTTTCAAACTTCCTCTAATATACACCAATATATATAATAATATATATAATAATATATATAATAATATATATAATAATATAGATATATATTTGATCTTTGAATATTTCATTAAAGAAAATTTGTTAACATATTTTTTTATTTTCAGATCAAATGAAAGCAATAGTATCAAAGTTATTAGAAATGTATGTGTCAGAGAAGTCTCCGGTGAGAACAATAGGTCAGTTGCTGAGTGATCCGGTGCAAAAGATATGTCTACCCATCACTAATATCATAGTACAAGAGCATTTAAAGTAAGTGTCTAAGCGGAATTCGATTATATTACGTCAGAGGGCGCCACTAAAAAAGTTAAAAGTTACTGGCACATAGTGTCGCCGTTATATTTTATTTCTTTATTTTATCGAGTGTGTTTTGTTATTTTTTCATTGTAAAAAAGAGTGAGTTGTAACAATGAGCAGAGAATAGTGTTGTCTTTAATTACTTATATTTCTTAAATAATAGTTTTGTAGATATTGTGTTTAATTATAATTATAACTCTATAATAAACATTTAAGTGAAAAGTATGATGCTTTTATTTTGAACAGTAAGTTTGTAATCAAATATATTTTTAAAGTAAAAAAATATCTCGTAACATGCCCGCGTTCATCAGTAACTTTCTCGTTAAAATCCCATCAAAATCGGTCCAGTAGTTCCGGAAATAACCCGGAACAAACAAACATAAAATTGTTTTTTTTTTATTATCAGTTATGTAAATACATCGTTGTGTACGAAATACAATTTTTTTTTCTTCAAAATGACATACAGACACTTCAATTTTATTAATACGTAGACAGAGAAACATTATATTACATGTATAATAAACATTATTTGCTTAACACTTTAAAAGTTTCTTAATTAATATTATCTTAAGGTAACCAATTTTAAATTTAATGTGGTCTTTACAATTTTTTAAGGAAAATGGCGTTCTGGTATCGTTTGGAAGTGAGTAAGAAAGGTGACGATTCAATCTTCAAGAGGGATATGAAAACTGTGTACGCCTTCTCACAGACTCCTGTGTTTCCACCTTCTGTTTGGCAACATTTAGGTAAATCTCACTATCTTACTAATATTATAAATGCGACTGTTTAGATGTTTGTTAGAAATTATGTCCAGAACAGTTGTATCAATTTTGCTGAATTTAGCATACATGTAGAATATAGTCTAGAAGAACATATTTGCCACTATTTTTTTGTAATTCCACGAGGCCGGAGTTATAAGTTTTTGACACTTATTACCTTTTTAAATCATACCAAGTAATAGTATTTATAGCTAAAGGTCCGTTCACAAAGACCGAGGCGATTTTTTTTATGGCAAATAAAATTTAACTTTTATTTGATTGTTGGACGGTTCAATTTTACTTTCTAGTTCTTTTTTATATCAAAGTTATTGTGTAAAAAAGACAAATAGTAATATTAAACTTTATTTCAATGGTATAAAGTTCAATCTTATTAGCGATAAAAAATCGGCTCCTCATTTTTATATGAACCGACCCTAAGGATAGATGAAGGGAATTGGAAATTAATTACAAAATAATTAATATTGTACCTATCTATCGTATAAGTATACTTTAATCTCGAAATCGATTTTTTTTTAATTATATCTTCTTGATTTTAGAGCCGTGTACCGAAGATGTAGCAGAGGTGACAACGATCGGTGAAGAATTGAAATTCTACTGTACGAAATATACATACATTAGTAACAAGTTGATTAGAAAACTGAATATTTAGATGTTACTAGCTGTCGCCCGCGACTCCGTCCGCGCGGGATTAATAATAAATGTTGGCCGATTCTCAGAGCTACTCAATATGCTCACAAAATTTCATTAGAATCGGTCAAGCGTCGGAGGAGTATGGGAACGAAAATTGTGACACGAGAATTTTATACTTATTTACTATGAACAATGAGTTTAGGAAAATAATATATATAACTCCAAAATTACAATGAAACACTGTTGAATTAAATACGTGGTTTACCCTTTGAATGCCGTAGATTGATATTTTGTACGTCAACGTGGTTTAAAAAGATTAACTGTTAAATATGCATCAACAAAACTTCTAAGTTTTAAGCGTCAGTAGCCTAATGGTTAAGGGTATTTCCGATCACGAGGTCGGGAGTTCGAATCCCGCCATTCGACTATTGTCGTAAATCATATGCTAGCACAAGCCTAGAGCTTAGTTGAAATGGTAAAAGAAATATTAGTAAATTTAAAAAAAAATCTGCTAATATTTTTCATTAAAAAAAAACAATGCTACTGGGACTTTGTTATTTTAATATCGCGTTTCAGAAACCTACCCATAATACTTCAATAATCATGATTTCTGTTATTTTTTTTTATATCAGCGTACGATTTAAAGATGGACATAAATTTAAGATAAGAAGTAATTTAAACTCTATTTTTGTATATTTTATGTCCAGTGTAAGTTTGTGATAATTATAATACAATATATATATTTTTTTATATCAAAAGATGGCAAACGAGCGAGTGGCCACCTGAAATCGCTGAAATAGCGAAGTGACCTTTAATTGACGGAGGAGAGGATGCACAGAAAGAAAATATCTTCCCTTTCCATCTATCCTCTCATCCGGAAAGTCCACTTCCACTTCCCATCCTTTCCTTATAAAGAAAAGGATGGGAAGGGAAAGAGGACTAAATTAGGCCTCCCGGACGCACACTCGTCAGACGAAACGCGGAATTACTTCCACTTGAGGCGTGTCTTCTGTGTGGTCGTGGTATTTCATCGGGCGAGCCGGGACGACTCGTGCGAACATGTTAAAGCTCGCTCTACCACTGTTTAATATGTTAATTATATAAAAAAATATATAAGGGAAATAAAATGAGTTATACTTGAATTGTGTTTTAAACCCACATATGCGTTTTCTTTGCAAATATAAAAACATTGATTCAGATAATTTTCATGTATTTAGCATAACATAGACAATTTTGACTATGGCCAGAGTCGTTGACTATGTCACTATTCCTAGTCACCTAACTTAGGGTAGGCTCCGAGCCCCTCAGTGGGGACGTGAGCTGATGATGATGAGACAATTTTACGACAAAAATTCGTTTTGAATTTTTTTTATATCATAAGGTGGCAAACGAGCATGCGATCACCTGAAACCGCTGAAATAGCGTAGTGACCGTTGCTCATAGACATACGCAATTGCATATGCGTTGCCTACCTTTAATGGACGGACGAGAGGATGCACAGAAAGAAAAAAATATTTTCGCTTTCCATGCATCCTCTCATCCGGAAAGTCCACTTCCGCTTCCCATCTTTTCCTTATGAGAAAAAAGGTGGGAAGGGAAAGCCTCCGGGACGCACACTCATCAGACGAAACGCGGAATTGCTTCCACTTCACGCCTGTCTTCGTGTGAAGGTGTTAAAGCGGGCTCTACCGCTGTTAATACGATTAGTAACGAATTAAATTTTCAGAAAAAAAATACGATGATTCCACACACAATTTACTAGTTTAAAATTAAACATTACACTTTGTTATCTATTCTAAATGTATGAAGGCATGAAATATATTCCACGTTTGCTTTGGCAATGAATAAATCGGGCAATTAATCTATTCGACCCACTTGTTAAGCGATTTTTAATTATACGTAACAACAGAAGTAAGCCAAAAATAATCTTCAAACATCGATCGAAGTATTACGTCAACAAACAGGAACGGAACAATGTCTTTGATCTTTGAGGTTAATAAACGCATTGATGGACGTAAAACAGTCAATATCTTTTAGTGTTTGATTATTTTTGTAATGCAAGAGAAATCTAAAGCATTACAAGTTTTGTTTGCGTTAAATAAAATGTATTAAAAATCAGGTGAAATTATATTCATCAAGTCCTTTTATGTAGCTTCAAAAATCTAAACTAGAAGTCTCAGAAATCCAAACTAAAAAGCTGCTCTAAGCAATAATTGAACCGTTCTCAGAGTGTATAATAAAGTATACACTAGTAACCACTCTGTTAAAATCGATTTTATAAAACACGTGTCAGTAAATTACCAAAGAATCTGGTTTGTCGGGAACAACACTTCTTAAAATATTTACTCCACTCCCCATGTCCTGGTGATCTCATTTCCTCAGTTATGTATGATCGATATAATAGCGGCAGATTTAACGATCTCCCTGAAATGTACAGTCGAAAAGAGAATTCTTAAATTAACCTCAAAAACATAATAACTTGTACATTACGACGAAGCACTAATAGCTATACTTCTTGCTAATGTTATAAATGCCAATGGGTTGGTAGACGCATGGTAGGATGGATGTTTGTTTAAAGGTATCTCGAGAACGGCTGAACGGATCTCAATGAAATTTGGCAAACATATAGAACAGAGTCTGGAAGAACACATAGGCTACTAATTATGTTTTTTTTTTAAATACCGAGCGGACATAGTCACGTGTGACCGATATAGAAATTTAGAAAAAACAAGCAATTTTCTTACATTCTAATTCTTTTGTTTATTCAACAAAGTTCTTTCCTGCAGGTATACGCGATGCCAATCTTTTTTGTCACCCCTAAGCTCATTTTAACGTCCTTAATATTGTCAAATGCAAAAAGAAATTCGTGAATATTTTTTCGTACTTCAGAAATGGCAACACACGATATGGACTGCTAACAAGATGTGTACATTTTTTTATTTCTCCACATGTTCTTGCCTAATTTAAACATTGTTTAAATAATTCAACTAACAAAGTTTGTCGGTGACTGTACCTCGAACTCCTGTTTGTTTACTTGAGGGGCCACGTGCACTAATTATCCTCTTATTACTCAATCATATTGTAGAGTTATTCGTGGCGTGTTTGGGCAAACGTTCCGGCCACTGGCTTATACCTAACATCCCACTTCAAATCCTCAGGGACGTTCCTGTCATAAATATATAATTTCTACGAATATTATATTTCATTTTCTTTTGAGTCTATTTTGAGAATAACATTTGTATTATAACGTTTCTTTTCTGCTATAATTAGAACCTTCAACGTCAATTTATTTTTATTTTAATATCACGAAACGTCTTTCTCATACTATCTTAAATATTATAAATGCGAATCTTTAGATGGATTGATGGATGGATGTTTGTTTGAAGGTATCTCCAGAACGGCATAACGGATATAATGAAATTTGGCATAGACGAAGAACATAATCTGGAAAAACACATCGGCTATTAGCCTATGGCTAGGCATATGTTTTATTTAATTCCGCGCGAACGGAGTCGCCGGCGAACGCTAGTATAATAATAAAGTAACCTGAAGGTGTCTTATAAAGTGTAATATGAAGATATAACGTAAGTGACCTGCAAAAGACCTCGACGTGTAATCTCTTATTAGACGGCTTTTAAGCTTCGTGAAATTTGAGCCCGGAAAGGTCACTTGGTAAGCAGCACTATCGATTTTGCTAAACGATTTTGTGATGACACATTTACCTAATTTTTATCAAGTGACCTTGATGTTAATGATATTATTTAAAAAGCAAATTTAGCAAAATAACTAAAACAGTAGCAAATACTGAAACATAGTCCTCAATTTGACATACTAATCGTAATATTATTATCAAGTTACTAAAAAAAATAAGACATAAAATCTCGTTCAGCCTTGTAAAATGATTTAAGCGAAGCCTTCGTTGTTGTTTGATTGTTGTAGGTTTCACTTTTTTCCCTAGACCGTAATTTTACATGTCGTTTAATAGCGCAAAATAATATATTTGTGCATATCTTTTACTTTTCTTACTTTTTTTCTTCTTAGTGCATGAGTGATGATTTGCCGTTTGTTCTATGTTGATCGCTTGGGTCATCATGACGATGCGCAAAAGTTTTGAACAACGACTTGTTATTTTGTAGCCCGATTAAATGTTTACATTTATAGCTTCCTCTTACTGAAAAGATTTTTCCACGACAACTTTGATAAATGGTTCTGAGATTCGATGTAAGTCGTTCCTTCAAGCCCCTTCGTACACGAGTCAAAGTAAATCTTCGGAACCAGGCGATTTTAGCTCTACGCGATTTACGCAGTGTAGTGTCATAAAGTTTCACACATGTTCGAGTCGCCGACACTTTGTTTCTTCGTCACCTCAAGCAATCTCTTGCCAACCTATTTGTCATTATTGTCGTGAGAAACTCGCTACGATTATTCAGATGACGAAGCAAATCTATGCCTCAAGACGACACACATTGACAATTTAGCTCGCGACGCAAGTATGCAAAATAGTTTCGAATATTAACGATTCTTTGTGTACGATGAGCCTTACATTTAAAAGTTAAGATAGTACGCGAAAATCTGTGAGAAATTACAATTAAAATATATTACTATCTCTGTTTTGTCAAAGATAATGACAGGAAAGACGATATGTTTTATGCAGAGATTGTGGTTTCAAAAACTAAGGGTTATATGTTCATAATTTGATTACTTAGCCTTTGTTGCTTATAGAATTAGATGATTTATAATTGCGGTGAGTGCGACCAACGTTCGTTGACCTCCGCGTGCCCTCCGACCTCAACTAATTGCAGTCACTGGATAATGGTGACGCAAGAACCGGAGGAGGAAGACTGACTTCGTTAGCTCAATTTGTTGATCAGCTGTTTGTCGGTTTGAAGATAAAGAATTTCATATATACATTTCATGCTAAATATTAATAAAGTTGTATTTTTGTTTGTTAGCTCATTGAGTCAAGTTATTTTAAAAGCGTTTTTTTTTATATCATAAGGTGGCAAACGAGCGAGCGGCCACCTGAAATCGTTGAAATAGCGAAGTGACCGTTGCCCATAGACAGAAAGAAAATATTTACTCTTTTCATGCATCCCCTCATCCGGAAAGTCCACTTTCACTTCTCATCCTTTCCTTATAAGAAATAGGATGGGAAGGAAAAGAGGACTAAATTAGGCCTCCGGGACGCGCACTTATCAGACGAATCGCGGATCTGCTTCCACTTGACGCCAGTCTTCTATGTGGTCGTGTTATTTTACCGGGCGAGCCGAGCCAATTCGTGCGAAGATGTTAAAACGGGCTCTACCACTGTTAAAACTAAATACTAGTTGCTAAATAAACCCCAAAAAATAACATTATTTAATTTCTTTTTTATGGAATTTATGTTTTAGGTTATATTAATGTTTTGAAACATTTTATCGGTCGCTTTCATCTGATTCATTACAGGGCCGACAGAAACCGATGTTATATTTATTCGAATTCCATTTCGTTTCGTTCTACCGTTTGTCACGCGACTGTTATATAACTATTATTGTTTATATATCCTAACTAGCGGTCGACCGCGACTCCGTTCGTGCGGAATTTAAAAATTAATTTTATTCATCTACGCCTAATTTAATCGAGATCTGTTCAGCCATCCATCCATCTAAACATTGGCATCTATAATACTAGTAAGATATATTATAATTTTGCTTATCGGAAATGTTGTGTACTTCATTTGATGTCCATGTTTTTACCATCAACACGATCGTTATTTTATTACTAATTCGTTATATGTTTTTCTCAAAGCGATGCGTAATAAGTTAATCCAGTAACTGGGACCAATCGCTACGGCTTCCGTCGAAAGGATTTAATGGATAATCTGATTTGAGCCTCGTATAACACATTCATGTTAAGGTTTCGTGTTATGATGAAAGCGCCCACTTTTACGTCCCAGTTTCTATATTATGAGAACTGAGAGGGTTTTTATAAGAAAATTAAATAACTGTTAGTAGTTATATGATTAATCTAATATATAAAAGACTACCAGAAGAACGCGACTTCGTTCGGGCAAAAAAAAAATAGCACCGTACGATTAGTTTCGAAGCAGTCAAAGAATTTTTCAAATCTGTTCAGTATCAGTGCTTATTCAATGAAAACAAACAAACAATCAAATATTTCCCTTTAGAATATATGTAATTAAGTAGATAATAAAGTATTTAAATATAAATGTAAACGTCTAAAAAGAGATAGCCTAAAAAAATTATGACGACTGAAATACCGATTGAAAGACTATTTGGAGAACGAACTAACAGTAATGTCGTCGTCATGTAGAGTGGTGTAAGAACAGGGTAATGTTAAGTTTAAAAAGGTATCATTTTATTTCCGAAAATTCTGGTGTGGTGGTGATAAAAATAATAGAGCCAATTAGGAAGACAAATTAGCCGATGTACCATTACCTTTACATTCTCAGCTATATCTCTTAATTATCTAAAATCTAGTAATTAAGTAATAGTAAGTAACTAAAAGTAATTTATATCTTACTTAAATAAATTGCGATTTTTTAGAGTCTGCGGTAGTTCAAGATAAAAATATGAATCGTCTGTAAAATTACAAGAACAGTCCGCAATCCTCATTCAGTGATTGTGCGAGGGGCGAAGTGTACAGTTCGCAGTTTTTGTTCGCAGCCTCGATTCAAAGCGAAGCCTTCGGGGGCTCGAAATAAAAGGATTGTGTGTTTTCCATCTACCTACCTGATTTGCATTGTTCTATTCTCACTGACCATGGAATTGGTTATTGTTAGTCTAGAATTCAATAATATAAAGTCAATTTTAGTTCCGATGTTATTTGAGTTTTCAAGACCACTTTGGAATACTAATAACTCGATTTGTTATCAAGAACATTATGAGTTTGGATGTTTGATTTTTTTTACTTATTTTCGGTTTTTATTATTACTGGCAAGAATGTATCTTGAGTACTTTGACTGATGTGGACGATTCAAATACGTCCAGTCAAATACGTCTCTTAAAATATATTTTTTTAAATAATTTCCATAAAAATACATATTTCAAAAGCAATAATATTCCAAAGCTCATTGAGGACAATGTCATTTAACTCTTCAATTTTCTTTTTTTTCAAACGTAGAGAACTATAGCCGCGGTGGCATCGCAACGCAATTTGCTGAAACGGGGTCGTAGCGAAGTTATGTGCGGAGGTTCCTACTAATTAAGGTTACTCATACATCGTTTCCTTTCCATTCCAACTCTTATCTCAATAGTATTATGAAATTATATACTTTATTGTAACTTTACAATAAAAAAAAACTATTAATATCCCATTTCTTGATTTATCTCTTTCTTGTAAAGTTTCTTTCTTCTTCTTCTTCACCCTGTCCAACAAGATTGGCCACTTACTTGTATTTAACTCTTTGTTTCCGTTGTACGGATACAAAGAGTACTCTATTTATAGTACTCTAGTTTTACTATAAAATATCTTATAATTTAATCCAAATGCAAGTGCGCAAATACGTGGCTTAGATTCAATAACTATTATGTTTCTAATGTTACAAATGCAAACAAAACATCCAAATATTGCAGTTTTTCATTCAAAGTTTATAAGAGAGATCATAAGATGTTTGAATAAGTTCAGGGAGTGGAATATCTTGTATACATTTTAGTTCACGATTAATGCAGCAAGCGTGTCTGTAACCTACAGAACATATAATACAAGCGTAGTATACAGATCGATCGCAATTATAGGTCTTCCTTGACATCCTGTAACTAAATTCAAGGTCGTTTAAGGGTCGTATTCACTGTCCTTCGTCGAACTAAAAATAACCTTAATGTTTTTTTTAGAATTCGATTATTTTATGTGCCCTTTCAAGTTCAAGCCGTCGACGATTACTTCCGATGTAGTTGTGGCTTCCAACTAACTCGATTTGCTTACAATTTCCAACGAACATAACTAATATGGTTTCTTTTAAATGGAGTCACGTTTTTGCATATAGAATTTGTGTTTGTCGTAATTGTTTGATATCTAAATTTAAAAAAAAAACTAAATTGCAATTGAATGCTTTCAATTGTTTTACAAATTATAATTTCTCTGTCCTTATCATCTCTATGGGTTTCGCCGAAACAGGTTATCGTTATCAAAATCGGTTTAACATTTGCCATTTCAATCGTCCTCCCATTATTAATCACGCGTCGTCTTTCACGCATTTTCCATCTTTTTCTAGGCTTATTCCTATCGATGTAATCCTCCATATGTCGTATATAAAAACATCTTTAAATAAAATAGGTAAGTTAAATGTAACACTGCAATTTTATTAAATTCCCGCTTCAAATTCTAACAAAAGTGGCTCTAGAATGTTTCCTTTGTGAACTTCGAAATTGTGGTAGCCTTAAATCTTACTAAAAGGGCAATGGTTACATTTGATACAAAAGCTTTAAAATATGGTGTACGATATTAGAACTGAGTACTTTATTATAGGATTTATTTGCTGTTGGAATTGATGTAAGCCGCGAATGTATACGTAATTAGTGTTAATTCTCGGTTTTAAGCCTGCGTTTACATCATTAAAAATAATATTAAATTATTGAATCGTAAAAATTTAATGGAAATGTTCAAAATTATGGTTGCTTTAGTTATAATGTTTTGATGCAAATCGTAAAATCTTTCTGGTTTTCCTCTCTTTATAATGTAAGAATAAAAGCGCCTTTACAAAGTTAATAGTAAAATTCGGATAATATTAATGTTTATTCTAGAAATTTCTTTAAACGACAGATCAGTGGATTTAATACGATTATGCATTACATAAATCAGTTAATTACATATAAGTACATAGCTAGTGAAACCATAAAAAACATAATTGAAGCCGTTTATTTACATAACAAAGTATATAGCTAATCTCGGTCATAAGATTTCGATTGTAATTACTACAGAAGGAGAATTGTAATTAAATTAAAAATATCAGATTTGAAATAATTTCCTTGTTAATTTTGCTGTATTGTTTTTTATTTGTATACTAACTGTCGCCTTAGACTCCGTCCGCAATTGAAAAATAGTAGTCGATTCTCAGACCTACTGAATATCCATGTCATAAATGATGGATCATGCTTTTAGTTGTAAATTTTTTTAAAGCTATAATAATGTTATGTTATACTTATAGAAAGAAAATATATATTTAATCTATGAAAATAATCATTGAATTATAAAAAAAAACAATTGGTGACTTATTAACTTTTATTTACGTAGGCATTGAGGTCCAAATTCCGGTAACCCAGTTCGCTAACTCGACACCTCTACCGGGCTGGCTCGAGCGTTTGCTTTCCAGTTACAGACACGGTGTCAAGTTTGTGACTGAGAAAATCAATGGTTTGATGCACAGTGTTGTAAGAGAAGGTACCGTGTCGGGGACAGAGGCACTATGGCGTCAGTGGGAGGGGTGTTTGGCGCGGGAGAAGCCAGGCTCCAGGGCCGTAGCTTACATAACGCTGAGAAAAACGAATGCACAACCGACTGTTTGCTGTCTCTCTCGCACATTATTAGAACGCGTCTACAGCTAAGCACATTTTCCTGCAACAAATACAATATTTTACGGAGAATAAAACCTTTATATTTTATTTTGCAGATATGAGTAGCTAAGATTTTTCGTAATAAAATAATAAATACAAGCATGCTCCCCCTGTGCGACCTAGACGCACTAGAGACGAGAGTCTAGATATAACTTTTCTTCAAAAATGTTCTATTGCTCATTAACTTTCTGAGTTGCAATCATCAAGTATTTACTACAGAAGTAATTACTAAATTGAGCTAAGTTCAGACGCAGAAAAGTAATTATGTATACATCGAAACACTTAATTATGGCTCGATATTAATCTTTGAATCAATATACAAATGACCCCTGTAACTTTTACCAATTAAATTAAACAAATGTAAGTTAATAATTGTATTAACTACGTAAGCAGATACTACTGATGGGTAGACAATGTTAAGTAATAAGCAATTGTGAAAATACTGTCCAGTGTGATCGCGGCCGCTCCCCGGGCCGTACATGTGCCGAGCGAGAGCGACTCGCGTAGTGGGCCCAGTGCCACCGTCGCGAACCAGCGTAAACGAGAAACGCTCCGTTTAAACATTTTAAATTTCGAATCCCCCGATCGTTTGTTGTTTTAAAAGGTGCCTGTAATTTTATTTCTTTTTTTAAATAGTGCAGAATTTTTTTCTTTTTATTTTTCTTTAAAGTGAAGTTGGTCAAGGGTGTTTCGCCCCGGGAGCATTGCTATAGCAACGGATGACGTCAAGTTCACGGGCGGCTGGTGCATTTTCGTTCGATAATCGCTGCTTTCATAGCCCTTGCTTTATTTTGTTTTAACAGCGTAGAAGGTTAAAGGTGAGATGCTATGCAATTCTTTATACGCTTTACAAAAATAGTATCAGATATAAATGCCTAAATATATTAAAATATAAATTGACATCAGGGGCATTGTTTTAATTTATTCTACGATACTATTTACGACGTATATTTCTTATTGTAAACTATTAATATTTTCCTTATAAATAATCTGAGGTTTTATCTATTTTTAAGATATTGAGCTAGAGAAGAACTTTAAGAAAATATTGCAACATTATAGTATAATAATATATTTTCTTATAAAATGTACTAAGTTTGCTGGCGATTGTTACACAAGCCTGGGAGTGAATCTTTGTATCGGTTCTTTGGTTAGCCCAGCAATGGGCATTTCTATACATAGACAAAATATTATTAAAAGGGGCCGTCGCCACCGTTAATTTGTTGATTATCACTAAACGCTGATTAAAATATCATTAACATTTAATTAAGAACGTGTAGGTAACATAGTTACGTCATTAATATGTAATTACTATACTGTTGCCGTTTTATTAACAATTTTAATAAGTAAATTTCAATATAAAATAACTCATTGTAAACAATTTGCTCTGCGTTTAATACTTAGAAACAATTCTAATGACATATAATTCGTTTATAATTATAACAGCCATTTACTGCAAATGTCACGGACTATGTCCTTTAGTAAGTTATTAAGATTGAATCCCTTTTTAATCCCAAGTTAAATGTACAAGTTCGTACCAATGTGTAACCTAGAGGATTGATTTTGCGGTCAATCTGATTAAAGACCATGGTCGTTTAGTAAATTGAGCTCGAAGGAAAATCGAGAGGGATTCATGTCCTTTAGACATTCAAGAGCTGTTGACGTTTACTAACTATGCATATTTCCAAACATTTAATAGCAATATTTAAAAAAAAAAAAACTAAAAGGAATGGTGGGTATGTGCCAAATGCACATGTCGGGGAGAAGATGTATAGGAAGGGTAATATTCTTTTTCTGTAGCCTCCTCTCCTTTGCCTTTATATCTACGGGCAGCGGTCACTTTACTATTATATGGTGCCTAATATATGGTTTGCCATCTTTAACTATAAAAAAACCGAATTCTATATTGCGTAGTACAGTTCACCTATATACAAGATATATGTATATAATATGCGGCCAAATTACCCTATAAATAATATCCAATCGCTTTTCTGACATACGCAAGCGAAACAGCAGTTGTCGTATCGAATTACGGCCGCTTAATGTCTCGAATGGCGTATAAATACATTGGCCATTCGGACACCGCACCCTCAGGGCGGATGTAGAACATCAAGTGTGAAACTGAATGACCTAGACCCGAGATGCAATCTTAAATAGGTCTCTGACGATCTATAAAAATTTAGCACTTTAATGCTAAGCTTTCATTTTAAAAAAGTTGTGTATTTGAATTGCTAATTAGATCTTTCTTTTGATCGTCTTTTCTTTATGGAAGACAATATCATTTGACATGTAATTGAATATAGGCACTTTGTAATGTCATAAAATCTATCGCTTTTCTAAAAACATTTCTTGACGCCTTTCCAAGGTCTTCGATTCCATTTCGGTCCTAAAATTCACTATTTTATTACGTGTTATAGAAATTAAATCTCTCTTTTACCAATATGATAGTCGCAAATTATTAAATTCCATTTGGTTAGATAGCGTCTATAAAATTCGAAATATTAAAAACAAAAAAACCTTTATTGTTTTCTTCTATGAGCTGGGGTCTGGTGTCTAAACTATAGTGTTACAAATTAATATAAATATTTATACCTTATACATAGCTCTTATTTAAAAACTATCTATGTGACATTGTAAATTTTGATTACGAATATTGTCGTCTGGCACAGGATGGTCTGTAGCATTGCAATTCCTTGCTGTTTATACAAACTGAACCAATGCAATCACCGAAGCCTCCAGCGCTCGAGATTAGTCCCGTTCCAATTCTGTGAGTAGTTCCGACTGACATGCTCATCGTTAGTGTTGTGCGAACTATCGATAGTCGATTGTAAATTTCATATTGTCGATATCGATATTGTGTAGCGAGACAACTCTATATCAAAAACTAATCGGTATTTCGTTTGTTTAGCCAAAAGGGTAGCTATGGCAAGTTATAACGTTATCTGTTGTAAATATACTAATTCCTTCATTTTTACTTAATAAGGTGGTAAACAAGCAAGCGGACACCTGCATTCGACGAAATGGCGAAGCGATCTCTGTCGTTTACATCCGCAATTGTAGACATTTAATGAACGGATTATGGAGGCACAGATAAAGCGTATTTCTCCATCTTACAGTTTCCCTCCATTCTTTTCCATTTACATTTATAAAAGAGTGTGAAATAAAGGGGACTAAAATTAGCCTGCCCTTTCGTGCAATAGTTTGGTGTAACTGGCTTCTACAACTTTAAATTTCATATGCAACAATTACGAGAAAAATATTTAATTATGTTTTTAATAGCGTTTTTTCGCGTATAACAAAATGTCGCAGTATCTGTCACTTCCACTTAATTATGATCTCACATAATTTAGGTTAAACTAAGCCATACAATCTAGACTAAATCCACGACACAAATCACCGATAGCTTTGCCTAATAGCGGGCAATTAATCAAGTCCCGAGTATGCCATCGGCGATAGTGTTCCCAGTTTAGCACGGACTGGGAATTAAGGGAATATTTAATAAAACATAGAGATGAATGGATCGGCTACTACATGTTTTTTTTCGTCTAATAGATTACAATTATGCAGCCATTTTTTTTTCTTCTTATATGCCATTTCTGTACCAACTATTATATGTTTTGCACATTTTCTGACAGAACTAACTGAATCGTGACTCTCACATCAGGCCAGTGGGCAGAAATCCTTGTTTCGCTGTATATTTGTGTATGAAATTCATCAGAGAAAAGAACGTTTATATAAACAAAATTAACATTTCAAGAAGCTTCCTTAAAGGCCAACGCATCTGCGGTTCCTCTGGCGTTGCGGATGTCCATTGGAGTCGGATCAAATAATCTTAAGCGATTCGTTGCTCGTTTGCCACCTTCTACTATAAAAAAGATAGACATTTAAGTTAAATTATCTCTCCTTTTTTCAATATATTTCCGAGTAGTTTTTATTTAACATCAGTGACATATACTTGATGCAGTATATCTAGAATAGAATTCTGTTGGCCATCTTTGCGGGCCAAATGCGACCTCTTTAACGACCGACATTTTTTACAGCGCAATCTTATAAAACGTATAGAAAATAATGCTTCCATTAATGGCTTATGTCATAAAAAGAAATAATAACTTAATCGATCTTCCATTGTTTCACAAATTAAATAGGACAAATCAGAAGCTAGATTAGGATTTATAATATTATCAAAATATGTCGTCGTGATTTAAACTGCATATAAGTGCGACATAATTCAAAGATATATGTGTAAAGTCAAGCAACGCACTTGCCCAGAATAGTTGTCTATGGCCAAATCACTCCTAACTTCGGAGTCCGAGCCTCTCAGTGGGGTCATATAGCTGGTGATGATGATAACAAGGTCATATAGTTCTTGAAGATAGGAATATTACGTTTGTAGTATAACCCATAAGAATACCTTTGTGTGTGAACACAAGACCTAACGAGAGTACTCAAATTAGTACGTTAACATTCCTCGCAATTACGCATACAATTCCGCGTAGTTGCATGAACGTTTTCACATACAAAAGACATGTATAAAAACATATAGTTATCTCACTCATACTACTTATAAATTCGTGAGACATCAATATATTTGTACATGTGTTTTATAGACGTAAAATAAAAGTAATACGCATTAATGCATTGTGCAGTAAGTACTAACATAGCTGGCACAAAAGAGTCACAATTGCGTTCTCAAAAGAACGTAAACCAGTTTTCCAATATGAACTTTAACGCAATACAATTAAAATTCGTAATCGAATGAAATTGTGTACACGAAATGCGTAGTAGTAGAAACATTGTTACACTTGATAAAGGTAAAGAAAACATGTTAGGAAAACATATTTCATGCGGATGATGCTGGTTTATGAGAAGGGTTGGGAAGTGCCTCATAAGCTATTTTATGTGTTACTAGTTATTTATAAAGGACGTTAAAAAGCTGTTTTCGGTAAAACGGTTTTTCTTACGTAGATTTTTTTCTTAACCTATGTATACGGCCTGTAGTGGTCGTTACCCATAGAAATTCTTAATTTTGCGTGTCATTTAACAGTAGCACCATTTGTTCCCTTTAAAAAAAAGTATATTGAACACTTTTTAAAATGTCTGTTACCAATGCTACGTTAGAATTTAAAAAAATAATAAAAAAAACACTCATTCCCCTTGTTTGGTATGAAACGGTTTATTGGTTCGAAAAATCTCTAGTCTATGAAAGAATATAATTTTTTGATTCGGTTTAGAACATTAAATAAACTAGCTGTCGCCCGCGACTCCATCTGCGCGGAATTAAAAACAAACTAAATAAGTATGTGTTCTTCCAAACTATGTTCTATATCTGTGCAAAATTTCTGATCCATGCAGCCGTTCTGCCACCTTCAAACATCCATCCATCTAAACGTTCACATTTATAATATTAGTAAGAAGTAAGTAGTTACTACAAGAGTTATCAAATATTTAAACACGACTAAAGTTACTTAAAGTTACTAAATTGGGTTACAGTAACAATCAATGATTACTAACATAGTACTAATATCATTAATGATTCATCCAATGAAGGACGTGCATTAAAAAATGATTCATAAAGCCACTTACAAATGAGTCATAATCCTAACACGT